GAGCTGCAAGAAGAGAAATGATCTTATGTGCACGGATCATGAAACAAGAAGGCGCAACTCGTCAAGCAGAGCGCAAGAGTATGAACAAAACTAAAGCCTTCAGCAGAGCAAACCATGATGTGAGGACTTCTTTGGCAGCCATCACTGGTTTGATAGAGTTGTGTCACCAAGATGCCAATCCCGACTCTGAGTTAGCAGCCAATTTGGCACAGATGCATACTTGTACAAAGGACCTCCTGGTCATTCTGAATTCTGTTCTTGATATAAGCAAAATTGAAGCTGGGAAAGCGCAGCTTGAAGTAGAAGAATTCAACTTGGCTCAGCTCCTTGAGGATGTAGTTGATATGTTCTACCCTATTGCTATAAAGAAAGGAGTCGATATCGTGCTCGATCCTTGTGATGACTCGATTGCCAAAACATGTAATGTCAGAGGCGACAGAGGGAAACTTAAACAGATAATGTGCAACTTGCTTAGCAATGCAGTGAAGTTTACATCTGAAGGTCATATCACAGTTCGTGCCATGGTTCCGAAAACAAGTTATGAGAATGAAATCATCGCTTCCAATCATAATCGTGTTTTGAAGTGTTTGTCATGGTTGTTTTACAAGGGGAAAGGAGCTTTCAGTGATTTGGATGCCATTCATACAGCACAAAAGGATCCCAACAGTACAAAGTTTGTCATTGAGGTGGATGATACAGGCGAGGGAATTCCAAAAGACAAGCGAGAATTTGTTTTCGAAAACTTTGTTCAGGTGACAGACAGAGCTACTGGAAAAGAAGGCTCTGGTTTGGGACTTGGTGTTGTTGAATCTTTGGTAAGTAATTCAGAATGAGTTTGACATACTAATACATTATCTATATATATATATATATTAATTTAGTTATTGATCACAATTCAATTTCTGGTCTAGGTACGCCTAATGGGTGGAGAGATAAAAATTCTTGACAAAGAGCTGGGTGAGAGAGGTACTTGCTTCAGCTTTGATGTTTCTCTTCTGACATGTAAACCAAATTCTGGTGACATTGAAGAAGAATTTTCCAATGATCGCTCTGCCAATGGATTTCAACCTTTTGGTATACAACTTTTGGCGCATTCACCAAAACCAGAGGGATCTCATGTGGTGCTCTTTATAGAAGGCGACGAACGGAGAAAGATTTTGGTGAAGTATATCAGTAGCTTGAACATAAGAGTTTCATATGTAAAGCATGCAAAAAATCTTCTTCCACAACTTGAGAAGATAAAGCGCAAGTTAGAAATTTCCTATTTCAATTATTCCGAAAAGTCCCAGCTGGGTTTTCTTGACCAACTAAGCCCCTCCGCATCCAACAACTCTGAGTCAAGAGCAAGTGACGGGTCTCAAAGCATCAAGGAAGTAGATGACCAAATCTTGCAACCCGATAAAAAGACCAACTCCAGAAACTCAACTGCAGGTATTGTACTTATTGTGATTGACACAAATGCTGGTGTTTTCTCTGAGTTATATGCAACTGTGGCTAGCTTTAGGAAAGACATACACAAGTCAAGATGCAAGGTTGTCTGGCTAGATAACTCAATAATGCGTAACACGCATCCGATGCAACTAGAAGGGCAGAAGATAGCTCCTCCACTCGATTTTATTATCTACAAACCATTTCACGGGTCGCGCTTATATAAAGTATTAGGACTAATACCTGAACTTAAAGGATGCAACTTACCAAAGTTAGAAAAGAGAAAAGTAGCTCAAGAAATGCAGAAAATGGATCCCAAACTTGCAGGAAATGAAGTGGGAACATCTTCATCACCTCAAGACGACGACTCACTGCAACAAGTGGTCGTACATAAATGTGTTGATAAAAGAAGTGATCAGGAGCTCTTGTATGGAAAGAAAGTTTTACTTGTTGAAGATTCAGCAGCAGTTCGCATGGTCATTAGTACTTACCTTAAAAAACTTGGAGCAGTTGTGGAAATTTGCCATGATGGCAAAGAGGCATTTGATCAAATTTGTAGAGCTCTAAGGGATCATAGCAAGGAGGCTCATTCTAAATCTACTCCCTACGACTATATTTTCATGGATTGCGAGGTAATGTGATCAAAACCATTTCTTCATTATTAAGGGTTTTTTTTTTTCTTCTTCTGAAATAGGAAGACGGATTTATATGTGTCTTTTGTTTTGTTGTTTTTGGTTTTCCACAGATGCCAATAATGAACGGATTTGAAGCAACAAGGCTAATAAGGATGGAGGAAAAACAATACGGGATCCGTCTTCCGATTATAGCATTGACAGCCCATGCAATCAATGAGGTGGTTAGCAGGATGATTGAAGCAGGGATGGATTTCCATCTAACCAAACCGTTGCAAATAGACATGTTGCTGGAAGTCATCAAATCGATTGAGAACAAATAAAATGACAAATTCGAAGTAGTTTTGTAGATGCAAGAGATTATGTTAAGTTGGTTTTTTCTAAATTCTTAATAGTTGACGGAGTTTTCAGTATGAAGGTGTTTAGGGGTTCATTATCATTAGAAACTCCATAAAATTTCAAATTCAAACAGAATCATCCGCGTTTAATATTATAACGAGTTGTTAATTTTTGAGAACCTTTCCTATTGAAAGGTTAGGAAATTGGTGATAATATACTAAATTCACACACACTATACGGATGCTAAAATTTGAATCCAGGACCTCACCTGAGAAATCATCCGTTTAATATTATAAACAGTTGTTATTCAAGAAAATGAAATCACATATCAAATTGAAAATTGAAACTTCAGAGTTGAGATGTCTGAGTCACAAATTTGAGTTGAATGGAAGATCATCCTACTTAATTCATCAAAAACCTATGGTGCGGCACAAAGTTTTGCTTTTCTATGGTGCGGCACCTTTCTGAATAAATAAAGACCCACCTCCGGTCCTTGTGTTGAGGTCAGCTCAAAAACCTACATGAAACACAAGCACATACAACAATTAAGCAACAATTTATGATACATCCGACATAATAATAGAGGAATAGGTTCATCAAACTCCATTGAAATCAACTGAGGAGAGATTAACAGCTTGATGAGTATCAGCTGTGCTTTCTGTGGACATACCCCCGGTACTACCACTATTTCCCGGCTCTGACTTCTAAATTCTAATATTGGTATAGCCGTGCGGCTATAATTTCTAGAGTATAGCCGTGCGGCTCCACCTGTAAATTTCTATTTATAGCGTATAGCCGCGCGGCTCTACTGCTAAACAACAGAGGTTGCATTTCCATTCTTGTACTTGTTGCTCTGACTCCTAACAGTTGCACATACTGAAGATACCATCTCATTAATGGAGCTCAAAAATCCACCAGACATGACGATGGGATAGAGTCAACCTTCTGAATAGACCTAAATCACAAATATCACCTGTTTCATGGGACATGCTACTATGGCAATCCACACGTAGGCTATAGTCAAAATTCCAATTAGAGCAGCGATAAGGCAAGAGACAATAAAAATGCGATCAGTTTGGATTCTTGTTGTTCCAATTGGAGAAAAAAATATCAATGTCCCCATCATAATCCATCCTCAATGACTACTTGTTTGATCTACATTCGCATGAGCATCAAACTGCCCAATCCCAGTTTAGTTAGGCTCCAACTCATATATCCTCCAACATGGTTTCATCATTCAATAACATTATCAAAGCCTTAAACTCATTTGACAACCCAACTCATCATCCTACTTAATTCATCATGTGCAACAGAGAGTCGAACAATGCTTTTTATAGGTGTTACTTATTGTAACCGCTTCAACCTTAAAAAAAAACTGAAAACGTTTCATAAGTAAAACAAATATCATTCCAAATACAAAGCATTTGCCGCCATGATTAGTTTCATATCAAAATTCAGATGTAAAAGCCGGATACAAAATACATGTAAACGCGAAGGAAATACAAAGTCCACCACAGTCCTATCATTATTTAGTGATATTTTAAATTAAATGACAGTCCTGTGGAAAAACAAAACAACCCCATCTTCACATACCAAAGCAACACACAACCCTCACGCCACACAAAACCCGCTTTATACTTCACTTTCTATTCTATTTTCTTGGAAACCAAACGGAGTAGTCTAAAAGCAAAGCATAACATATGTACATACATTCTAATATGTAACCACGAATACATATCTATGAGTGTGTCTCGATTTTGAAATAATAATCAATAAATATATTGAACTGTGAAGATTTTAGAAAATAAAAAGTGAAAGTGTTTGAAAAAAAAAATAAATAAATAAGGGAACTTACAGTGACATGTCGAGGAGATGGAGAGGGATCGCGCCGTTCAGAGAAAACTCTAGCCTTAGCTTGATCCACGAAGAGAGGGAAAATTCAGAGTGTAGGAATCAAAGCAAAACCGAAATCCTAAGATTGATTTTTGGGTTTCTTGAGCGCAAATTTGTATTTGAATATCTATACTTTTTAAATATTAAAATAAGTTTTAAAGAGTATTTAAATATACACTGGGATCCTTTAAAAAAAACCTAATTTTTTTCCTAATTTTATTTTGTCGATAAGAGTAGTTTAGAGCATTATCCATTACTATTTGGCCATTATCCGAGTCATTATTGTCTCCTTTTGAATTTTAACTAGCATTTTCTCGTTTAACACTTGTATTATACGTATACATATGTATTTTTTAATAATATTTTCATTTTGTGTATACGTCTTGAAGACTTAGTACAATACACATATGTACATATTTTTCATGTTTAATACACATATTTTTTTAACAAAATTTTTGAATAATACATACAAAATTCAAGTATTATACACATAAAATTATATTAAAATATTATATGTGGCCAAACTTTTTAGTTCCAGAAGGTTAAGTGAGAAATTAAGACCCTTTGTATAGCCGCATGGCTATATTCTTTTTAAAAAAATTAAAAAATTAAAAAAAAAATCTTCCGAATAGGTGCTATTAGGCGGTTCCTATTTTTTTTGGAATTTAAAAAATAAAACATACAGCCATGCGCTATTCCCCTTAATTTCTATTTATGGAGCATAGCCGAGCGGCTAGACTTAATCAACCATCATTGCCATGCCACCTTGCATGCTAATAGCAAGTGGTGTTGTGATATCATTAGCCAAAGGTGGATCACATTGCATTATTTTAAATTAAATAAAAAAAAAATTAAATAAAAAAAAAAAAAAAAAAAAAACAAAACAAAAAAACAACTTCAATTAAATCAGTGCGTATGCATGTGTGATAAGTTTACACTCAAGAAATGGCAAATTCTATGTAAGTCACTTGGAAGTTTAAAAAGAAAATGGTAAATACCTTTGGGTCTAACATGAAGCGTAGGGCATCGACCAACTTTTCAAGCGAGAATTCATCAGCTGGAATGGGTGCAGGACCTACTCCTCTTGCATGCACCCTCTCCCCCCAAAATGGCTGGTCCCCAAAGAATGGTACAATTGTGGTTGGACACTAAAAAGAATACAGAATATGAGCCAACTACCCAAGAATATAGCATTATCAGTTACCGCAGCTTTCAGACCAGCAGCAGTTGTCCCAACACCCCCATGATGCACCTAAGAAATTTTTTCATATCCAGTGAGAAACCTAGTTATCCAAGGGGGGAACAAAACAACAAAACGACAAAAAGGTGCATCAAGTTCATGTGACGTTCTGAACACCAGTGCAGTGAAATCCCAACCAAATTAAAAAGAATTAAAAGCATTGAAATTTACCACAGCAGAGCATCGTTGGAATAGCCAATCATGGGGGCAATTGTCCACTAAATACACAGAATCACTTGGTTCTGCCACTGAGAAGAGAAATGTATGAAGGCTTTCAGATGTAAAGAAGCATAAGAATACAATGTGCTTGAAAGTAATCTTTTTCTAAGAATCAAGACTTACACTTACCAAGGCCACCCCAGCCTCGGTTGATGACGCCTCTCTGTCCAGTTATTTCCAGAGCTTGAAGAATAATGGTGGTCATTTTCTCTGGTTCTTCAGAGGTATACTCTGCATGTATTAGACATGCCTCAGTCAAATTAGATATTGAACAACTGAACAACCAAAGGGTGGATTTGTCATCTGTCATGAATAGACCTCCACAACCTGTTCGTTGGGGACCAACATGAAGGTGGTCACTCTTTGGAGATTGTGGCTTTGGTTGATTGTTTTAATTGGGAAGGAACAAGTAATTTTTTTAGGGTAAGGACAAACAGAGCTACTCTGGGATAGAACTGGGAAAAGATATTAAACATGAATAGAGAAAGCTGCAACAAACTCACAAGGCTATCAAATCCAATATAGACAGTCTGTTCACCAGCTTCAAGCCACTCCGCAAGTGAATCTGGGGGTTCGTAATTTGAAGCAAGGTCAAGAAAACAAAAAACAACATCAACCTTCGGTCCCCAATCTGCCAAACAAGTAAAACGTAGAGCATATCAGCAAATAATCAGCATACTGTATTCTCATTTGGTCAAGCTGGTCTATTTCTACCACATCAAATCATATTCCTGAGGCTTCTGCAGTATTATCAGCATACTATTGCTAGAACAAAAAGAAGCCCACGTAATCAGATATGCTTAATAATCCAAAACCACCATGAGGATTCTGAAATGACCATGTACGATACGCTTCCTTTGGATGATACGTTTCCATTATAGCCGCAAGGCTCGACTCTATAAATAGAAATTATAAACGTAACGCTGGACGGCTATACTTTCTAATTACATTCGAATATTTTATAAGTACAGCCGCGCGGCTATACTCTTTAAATATATTCCAGCAAACACGAAGCTTGCACTCGCAGTGGACGGAACTTTCTCTCGCAGGCACTGCTTCGTCCTCCGGGTTCGGCGCCGAAAAAAGACCCAACCTGCCTAGGCGCCCGCCTAGCTACGACCTAGCCGCCTAGCCACCGCCTAGAGACCGGCTAACCGCCTAGCGCCCGCCTAGCGACCGCCTAGCCGCCTAGCGCCCGCCTAGCGACAGCCTAGCCGCCTAGCGTCCGCCTAGCCGCCTTGCCGCCCGCCTAGGCTGACATTTCAAACACTGCGATTGACTGAAAGTGTGAAACCCGAAATTGAAAAAATTTAGCTGCAAATTTGAGCTTGAGATTGGGAAGCCGAAGCCGTGAAGCAAAAGTCAGGTCCATAGAAGAAGAGATCATGAGACTCTTAATTCATCCAATTCCATTCCTCTCCCTGTTTCGCGCCTTATGTTCTTCTCTCTTCGCACTGACGACACGGCGCAGAAGAAAAAAATACAAAATTTGCTGACTTGGTGTCTGTCTTCTGTGGAAGGAAATGAAGAAGTTGTCCTATCATGGAGTTTCCATGGTCTTGCCAATAACAAGGTTCTGTGAATGGCATGTGTTAGGCTACTTGAATTCAAATTGATTCTGAAGTTTAAACATTTCTGTGAGTGGCATGCGTTTAGCTTCTCTTGCTTTGCTTATTCTTTAATATGCAAATGGCATTTATGCTTGTACCTCACTGCCTGTGTTTTAGGTGGAGAATGTTAGTACAATTTTTGTTTGCCGCATTCCTCGTAATAGTGATTCACTATTTCAGAGTAGTCGAAATCCGTCTTTTGCCCTTCAGCTATCATTGTGTTGCTACTCATAACTGTATTAACTATATGAGTCATGACTTGCTGTTTAGTTAATTGGATATTCTTCCTTAACATATGCAGGTTTTTCTGTGTTGAAATGAGACTGAACATGTAGTGGAATAAATACAAATTTCATGTGAAAGGTCCAAGTGTTTGGAATTGCAGCAAGATTTCTTTTTGAAAGCTTAAATGACAGGAAGCAAAGTGTTGCTAACGTATAAGCGAAAGAGGCAATCAAGAACAGATCCTGTACAGGAACATGAGTGCCGTAATTCACTTTTTGTTGCTCCCGATGATACTTCTTTTTGTTACCAGATACCACCAGAATGTGCCATATTCAACCGACCCTTGAAAGCGTATCTAGTTGAGATGAACATTTAGATTTGGTTCTTTAATTTAGGTTTCTATGAAGATCTTCTCTTAGTTGTCTTAGACCTATAATTTATTTTTAAGGTCATTGCTATGTTCTGTCTCACCTGCGCTTTTTCTTGCAGGTATGCCATGTATGTTTTGTCTGTTGTGTTGGGGGTAACCTGAAGCACTGTGGAAAATGCCTTCAGTCGTATCATCCCCAATGCCTAGATAAGCCCCATAAGGAAAAGAAACACATTGAAGTGTCTGGCACAAGACAAATACCAATTAAAACCGTTCCGACAAGTCTTGATGAGGTTCCTTCCCAAAGGGATGCATATGGGAATAAGTCTAGGGGCAAGAAAGTAGGCTCATCTTCAAATGCTAATGCTGGAGCATTGGTTGATGATAATAATGTTGGAGGGAGGTTAGTTTCTCAATTGGTGATGAATTCCGCTGTAATTACTGCTGATTTTGTAAGACAAAAATCATCATCAGCAGCAGCTCTAAATGTGATGGTAGCTCGCCGAGATTGAATACATCAAACTTAGAAGACACTGATTCATTCTCTAGAAATAAGTTAGATAAATTAGGTGGTGATTCAGCTTGCGTGAAACAAGTTGACCACCCCATTGATTATTTTCTGCCGAAGGAATAAAAGAAAAAAGGATATGGATGAGTCTAATATACAAAGGAAATCACTGCCCGTGGAAAATAGCTGCTCATTCCCCCTGAAAACTGCTCAGTAGATCATGAAGCAGATTTGAAGCACTCCAGAGAGGTATGTATGAAGCCTATCTTTTGTCAATTTGGAAATAATGTATCTGCCTATGAGCACAAGCACAATCATGTGAAATGAGAAATAAAAAATAAGATCCGACATGGAAAATACATTCTCATTTACATGTATTCTATAATAATACATATGTATAAAAACAAGGTCTGAATAAAAGGTGCATCATTGTTAGTGCTTAGTTGCCCTCGAGTGGCTGACTGACTCCACTATTATGTGCATTCTTAACCTGATACTTCATTTCTGTATACGTAATTTGTAATCACCGATCTAATTTCTTTGCTACGTATCATTGATTTTACATTCGATCGTGCTGGATCTGCTGCTGCTGGAACTAAAATGTAGGTTCACATTAACTTCAGAACTTATTGGTAGTGATACTAGAGACTCCTCTTCCGAAGCTGCAACTCCATGTAAACCAGGAAAAACCCATGCATTGATAAGAGATGAAGCTCAAGTTTTATCAAGTGCGGATCTTAAAGCAACAGAAACCCCTCATTTAGGCAGATCGCTTCCTTATTTGGACTTGTCTGTTATCCCCACTGGTAGGACTTCATTAATTTCCAGGAATGCATTTGAACCAGTAACATTACGAGTTTTAGTAATTGGGTTGTGAATTTTGACAGGTTTAACCTAAAGAGGAGTTGCCCAAATCCCAAGTTCCCAACTAACCCCAACTCAAATTTAATGGAATGAATAATTTCTCACCAAACTCTATTCATACCCTACCCAACCTAACCCACAAATTTAAACTAAAAAATTCATGTTGGTACTACGGACGAATTCAAATTGAACCAGTCTTAATCACAGCTCATTATTCTAGAGAGGAAAGGGATTTCATAAAATCACATCGCGTAATGTCACTATCACAAAATTCTAGCACCTGAATTTTTCTAACAATTTAATTTGGCAATACAATCAGCCGTTTCCTTAGAGCATCTCCAAAGTAAGGCAAAAGAGTAGACGAATCTCATTTGCTTTGTCACATTAGTATTTTCATACTCCAAGGGAAGATACAAATGGGTAGGTAAAATATACACCACTCTCCCCAACAAAGTAAAATTGCCTACTTCAAAGTGAAGAGGTATATTAAGCTCCACTTGCTTTTTATAATAAAATATCGTCTTCACTTTCTCACCTGTTTTCTATAAAATATAATAACAAATATAAAAGATAAAAATAAATTATATAATAATGTTTTGTAGACTTGCATTGCCTAGTCTCTCTAAGTGACCAACTTTTTCATGAGACAAATAAATAGGCAACATGGCACGTAGGTTATTAAGTACAATTTTGCCAATTTCATTTGCCTCTTCCCTTGGAGATGCTCATAGGGGTCATATCCATCGAAGAAAATTGCAAAATATAAAGATAAACCAAGGAAAATATTGATTTTAAAGGAATTAAAAAAAACTTGTTTAAACTATGCTCATGAATGTGATTATGAAAAACACATCTCATCAATTTGTTCCCATGGCTCAAACAGCTAAATAAGATAAAGACATCAGCAGCTAAAGCAGTTTGGCATGCAACTTTTAGCAATATCTGTTCCCTCTAAGAGGTTCTACAGCTAAAAAAATAAGACGATGGTGCACTTAACGCCCAAGCTTTTCTCTAGAACTTTGCGGTGCTCCCTCCCTACAGTTCATCCTGAAAATCCAAAGCGCAAGACACTATGATCAGTAAACACACTAGGAATATGGTTAGTTCATTAACAGCAAGAGGAAAGAAAACCTACATGTTTCTCAGCCTCAGTTTCGGCACTCTCTTCAGTTGAGTCTGGTTTCGATTCGGAATCAGATTCTTCTCCATCTTCGGCCTCATTATCGTCATCCTCGGCCTGAAAAAACACGCTGAAGCTGTTAGGGGACCATGGAAAACAAAAATGAAAGATCTAAACTCTCGGGTGGCAGTTTTGAATGCTTACATCAGAATCAACAGGGTCTTCTTTTGATTCCTGGTAAAAGATTAAGGTAACAAGTTAATAAAGATGAAAACCACACGATTCCTAATTGTGTAAATAGTTTTGTACTCCATGAACAACGTCATAGGCAAAGAGAGGTACCTCCTCCTGCAGCTTCTTCTCCAGCTCCTCAAATGCTGCCTTCTCGGCCTGAAATTGCATGGAACTCAATCAGACATCTAAAATGAATATACTTTTAAGGAGCTAAGCAAAAGGTCTATTAGATGGCATACATCTTTCTGTTTGCCCCATGTTTCCTCAGCCAACTGCTTTGCATACTCCGGCTCATCAGTGATCAAAATGTTGTCAAACAGGGTTCCAGATTTCACCTGACACATTACACATTTTGCCTAATCAGAATTTGAGTAACATGGGATGGGACCAACAATAGCAAACAGAATATAACAGACGAAATTACCTGCCACAATTCGATTCCGACATACTTCAAGTTGGGGTAAACATACAGCTCAGGGTCATCCTTGAATTCTGGGTTGTCAATCAATGGTGCCTTCCACTTTCCCTTGAAGTTGGGGTTCTTGATTTTCTGCACAGTGGTGGAGAAAAATTATGAACCAGTGTTCACAAGTTGCATTACAAGCTATTATACAAACCACAATTCCACAAACCTTTGGCTTCCATTCACCCTTGTACTCAGGGTTGGGAATGGTTGGGGCAGTCCATTCACCGTCTTCCTCATCATCCCAGTCTTCAGGCTGAAACACCAAGACACGTTAGTGAGCAACAAAAGTGCTCTTCCGCATATGTGTGGTATTTTGAAATTCGAAGTTAAATCAATACCTTCTTGGCATCGGGATCGGTTATTTCCTTGGGAATGTCATCATACCCCTACAAATAGACAATAAGAGTCAAGGGTTTAGGGTGTGCATTCAGTAGGTAAGAAGTATAAAGAAATTGTGACTACCTCAGGCTTCTTATCTTCAGGGTCAGGGATGTATTCTTGGTCTTCCCAATCTTCAGGCTGTCAATATTAAATAGTCAATACTTATTCAACACTTCAGTCATGATTAGTTAATTGAAGTCTCAACAATTCAATTAAAGGTAATTACTTTCTTGGCCTCGGGATCCTTGATTTTCTTTGCAGGCAGAAGATCCCAATCGCTGTAGAGGCTACCAGTTTGTTTCTCAGCATTGTCAATAAGGATGCTGTAGGTAGCATCTGGACGGATGATAAAAGTATAGACATGAGTGAGTTGGTCAGTCTCACAAGGAACATCCTTCTTGATCAAGTTATTTGTATTATTGTAGTTAAGAATTGCATGCACTTTCTTGGTGCTGTATCCACAGATATCTGGCCCAAACATGATACTGCAAACAACAAAAGTTTATATACCAAATCAGCAATGAGGTAAAGAAATTGAAGCAAAGAAAACAAAATCATCAGACAAATAAGGATATCACTAGCCTGTATGGGGTATCACCGCCAAATTTCTTCTGATCAACATCACCACTGAGTAGCTTGATGTAGCCACCACCACAGTCAAGTTTCTGCTCATGCTTCACAGAAAATTGAAACACGAGTGTCTTATCCTTGTTGCTGAATTCAGGGAACTCAGCTGATATGGCATAGAACCTGTAGTCCTCACTTGTTTGGATACCTGTACCAAGATGTCAAAGTCATTGAAAATGGTCATCAGGATAGGCATCAAAACATTTTTTTAAAATCAAGACAGGAACACAGTAAAGAATCAGTATTGGTTATAAACGGATACCTTTGTCATTAGGGTCTCCATTCCATTTTCCAGAGGTGTAGTTCCATTCACCAGCCAGGTTCTCATCTTTCTTCCACTCGGAAGTAACCCAACGTTTATCCCATCCGTCTTTAGTATTTTCCAAATGGTATAAGAAAAAGAAATAAAAGGGAATCAGAATAACAGAACTAGAAAAAAGATCAATGGAAACAGAGAAAAATAAAGAACCAGAGAAGTAGACATTTCACATGTACACTAGAAATAAGCTTCATTTTTATTTTTTTTTGTAAAGTCATTTTGAAAACTAGTTGACCAAGAAATGTTACTAGTTGACACTCTACATCCATGTCAATTCGACTAAGACAGAGTATTCATCATACTCATCAAAATCTGTGCGCCTTTCAAGCTCTACTCATCAAAATCAGGCACAATTGCAACATTCGCCAGGTAATTGACAAGTTCAACAACAGAAAGACTCGAGCCTCAAGGCAATACATAGCTAGAGCAACACCAGAATATCAATTTAACAGCATGTACAGGATTTAGCTTTAATAATCTGTTCCAATTCATATAGTACACATGGATTGTAAACACCTTGTGAGACTACACAGTGCAAACAGAGAATGCAACATTCTCGAACAGAAATTGGACTCGAAACCTTAGAATTATTGATTTTCTACATCCAATCCCATTTATATTGATTCAGGCAAAACCCTAACCCTCACTTTGATTCTGCAAAAACTTCACTGCTGACATTGACTATATGCACATACACATGCATAGAAATTATATAGCCACACATGCACACATACATATACAACCAAACATTTCTATTAGATACGTAACCAAAAACCACAACTGAAGCTCAAAATTCAACAATATGTCAAAATTCCCACAGATCCATTTCAAATTAGTAAATTCAAATCACACGGACGCATTAAAATAAACATTATCCAAAAAACAATCAGATCGAGTCGCAGACTTATATATAACACCGATCCTCCAGAAATGACATTGGATTCAACCCAATTATACCCTAAACCAGTGAAAATGCAATCAAACACTGAGCACATACATCCATACATCTACAGATACACAGAGTGAGAAACAGAGCGAGATGTATAGTTATACCCTCGAAGCGTTCTTCGAAGAAGACCTTGGCGGAGGCGATAGCTAGGAGAGAGAGGAGGATCAGGGACAGCAAGCTAGAGTTTGGAACCCTAAACGCCATCGTTTTCACCCACTGAGAGTTGCAGAGCTACAGAGTGTGATGAGAGAGCTCGATCTCTGGAGGCTGTTATATAGGTCTACTTGCTTGGTTTTACCTGCCGTGGTTAAACAGCGGGTTTTTGCTATGGGTTAGAGCCCTCGTTGGATGACGTGGACTAACCATAGTCCGCCACATCACGGGTTTGTCATTGTTGTGAGGTGGCTAGATCTGATTGGGCCTTCTCCGAAGTATCGACTGTGGCAATTGGATGCGACACGTAGATTGGCATCGACTCTGACGAAACTACCCATGTAGTACAGAAAGTTGCCAGCCCTGATTTGGTTAGGAAACTTTGAGGTGTAGTTGTGGGTAGCCACTGGCCAGTAACAGTAAGGCATATTAATGACGTTATCATCTTTTTAATTTAACTTTTATGGGATTGGCCTCTGGAAATTAATAGGAGATTATGGTTAGGTTAAGATTAGGTTAAAACTAGGGCTAATTCAGATTAAGCTCTTGTGAGGAACAAAGGGCCGGATTTGTTTGTTTTTTTTTATGTTCAACTTTTCTTAATTGGACCGTGTTTTGTCTTATAGGACAAATTCCATTGTCTTTGTACACAACATTGTGAATATCAAAGTCTTAGCCAAAACTGCAATGTTTGAGCCTGGATCACAATTCAATGCATAGTTTGTAAGTTTGAATCTGTAATTGGATATAAGATATCCCAGTAATTTATTTTTTAGATCACGAGTAATGATATGATTCTGTATATGATTGTGTCAAATTAATAAAAGTAAAGCGAAACATATATGGTTAGGTCAGTTGATCAAAATAAGGTGTCAGATTGTTAGCCCTGTTCCGCTTGAGATTCGAATGATTTGGTAAAGGAACTTTATTATGAAGGAAAAGTAAAATTCTCCTTTTATAACTACTCTTGGGCAGCAATTGGTTTATATATTCCTAAATATATTCGCATTGTGACTTTGCTTAGGACAAACACATAGGAAAAAGCACATAGCACCATACTAAAAGATAAACATTGGTAGGCTTGAATCTTGATAGTGGGCCGGCACTCATTTTGTTTCTGCTGTGCAATTCTCTGGATGCTTAGATTGGAAGCCACTCAAAAACCCCCACTAATTATGGTTTTCACACAAATGGTATTTGCTTTTCTCCTCCCTCTTGCTTTCAAAATAAATGTTTTTAGTCTTTGACAGAGCAGATAGACAGTTTCTGCATTTGAGTATTTGAAGAACATGGTAACTCATTATACCAACAGAAATATAATGATAAAAATGCACGATCTAGAAATGGAAAAATTCAGTAGGGATACATATATTATTTAGTTCATAGTAAAATTGGGAATTAGAGCAAAGACATAAATATGTAGCTTCTACTTTACATCATGAAAGTACTGATTAGAGTGAAGCTCCATTTGACATTTTACTGCTCAAACCAGCGAATTTATATACCGGAGGTTAAACTGATGGAGTTTTTTACAGCTCCAGATCTCAAAGCCATTTGAAGAGCACGCCTCCATGAGCTGCAAAGAATGGAGCAAACACTAAGGACTCAACTGCCATGAGCTTGATAAGAATGTTGAGTGAAGGACCAGAAGTGTCCTTGAGGGGGTCTCCGATTGTGTCGCCTATCACGGCCGCCTTGTGAGGATCAGAACCCTTAGGACCTAGTGATTTAGCATGTTCAGAAGCACCAGCCTACAGGCATATCAAGGCAAGATATCAGAACCAAAACAAATCAAAGAGCAGTTTTAAATCAAAAGTTGCAAGAACAAAAGCTTGCCTCTATGTATTTCTTTGCATTATCCCATGCACCACCGGTGTTCGAAGCTGAAATGGCAATCTGTGAAAGAAAACAAAAGGGAGGCACTTAAGGAAAACTGATCAGGAAGACTAAGAAATTGAAAACCTGCGGCTAAAGCTTTACCTGCACGCCGGAAACAAGTGAACCAGCAAGGATCCCAGCAAGAGTTTCTACTCCAAAGAAGGTCCCAGCAATGAGTGGCGTAAGCATGACCAAAGCGCCGGGCGGGATCATCTCCTTGAGGGAAGCATCAGTGGAAATCTTGACACATGTTGCGTAATCTGGCTTCGCTGTTCCTTCCATGAGGCCTGGAATTGTATTGAATTGTCTGCGAACCTCTTCGACCATTTTGAGTGCTGCACTTCCCACGCTCTTCATTGTCATGGCTGAAAACCAGTATGGAAGCATAGCTCCCACAAGCAAGCCAATGAAGACTTTTGGGGTCAGCACATCAACAGTCTCTATGCCTGCTCTGCTAACATAGGCACCAAACAAAGCAAGAGAAACAAGAGCAGCTGATCCAATAGCAAATCCCTGATACATAAATGAAAATATGTCAATTGAAAGAAGGGATACAAATCATCAAACTCAAGACCTAATCTCCTGACTGTTTGTTTTACCTTGCCAATAGCTGCAGTTGTGTTTCCAGCAGCATCTAAAGCATCTGTTCTTTCGCGTATCTCGTGGCTCATACCGGCCATTTCTGCAATCCCACCAGCATTGTCACTTATTGGGCCATAAGCATCAATTGCAAGACCTGTGGAGATAGTGCTGAGCATTCCCAAAGCAGCCACAGCAATTCCATACATGGCGGCCAAGCTAAAGCTAACGTATATAGCAAAGGCAATGGCAAATACAGGAATGATGACTGATTTGTAACCCAAAGCCAGCCCGAAAATCACGTTTGTTGCAGCACCAGTCCTACAAGAATCTGCCACATCCTGCACTGGACTGCAAACCAAACACGGTAGTAATAAGCATCAGAGATTTGATTTGCTGCAATATGATTTAGTATGGCATTGAAAATATATGTAGTCATTATGAAGACTAGGAAAGAGTAAAATGAACTAGGAAAATGGCTCACCTGTAAGCATTGCTAGTGTAGTATTCTGTAGTATATCCAATAACAAGACCAGCCCACAAGCCAATTGCTACACAAAAGAAGAGGTACCTGCAGCTCACATGTAATTCAAATAGAGAATATTAAATGTTACGGGGACACGAATTAAAGATGCCAGGGGAAGAAAACAGAAATTGGGGATGGAAAGAGGCATACCAGTTCTTGACAGCCTTATTGGTTCCAAAGCTGAAGAGAGTGAATTCTGATGGTAAAGCTACAAAAGTGACCCCGGCGATCCCAGCAGTCATTAAAACTGTTGAGATAAGAAGTTGTCGCTTCAAGGACGGTTCGATCTCACTCACTTTCTTGATTTCAAACAGATCAGTTGCAAAAAGGGTTGTTAACAGACAAACCACAATCCCCATTGAGCTTATGATCAATGGATATGACATGGCTGTGTAGTCATGACTGATACCAAAGGATGAGATGGATGCAACAAACAATGCTGCACAAGATGATTCGGCATAAGATCCGAATAGGTCAGATCCCATCCCTGCAATGTCTCCTACATTGTCACCCACATTGTCTGCAATAACCTGAAAAAGAAACACAAAATTTGTGAATGATTAAAACTAATCAATTCCCTGCACCCAAAAATAGTGACTTGATACTAAATTTGTCAAAGTCATGCTCTGCAATGGAAAGTTCTAAAAGAAATGAGCAAACAAGCAAAGTACAAAAGGGAGATGTAGGAACTTACAGCCGGGTTCCGCGGATCATCTTCAGGGATATTTCGTTCAACCTTCCCGACAAGATCAGCACCAACATCGGCTGCTTTTGTGTATATACCTCCCCCAACTCTTCCAAAGAGTGCCATTGAAGAACCTCCAAGTCCATAGCCAGTAATTGACTCATACAGTCCTTCCCAGTCATCCCCATAATACAACTTAAATAGATTGATAGTGATATACAGCACCAAAAGGCCGTTGGCAGCAAGAAGGAATCCCATCACAGCACCAGAGCGAAAAGCGGTAATGAAAGCCTTCCCGACACCCCTCCTTGCTTCTAGAGTTGTTCTGGCATTGGCATATGTTGCAATCTTCATCCCAAAAAAACCAGAGAGGACTGAGGTAAGAGCGCCGAGCAAGAAGGCAATAGTAGTAAAGAAGGCATTGGCTAATGCTGGTTTACATGTATTGCCTGTGTTATATGTGCAAGGTTCACTTTTGGTACTGAAACCCTTCACTGAACCAAGGAAGAGGAAGATTATGGCACTAAATACACCCACGAAGATGCTAAGGTATCTGTATTGGGTAAACAGAAAAGAGGTCGCCCCTGGGAACAATATACAAATCAAAGTCAGATTTAACTGCACAAATAACTTGTATCATAGTTTAGTACAAGGAGGATAACAAATACTTTTGAGAGAACAATGAGTCCATACTAAAATTGTTTTGGAACCATTAACATGTATAAACTAAAAGTATGGCAACAAATTAAAAGTAAAAAAACATTACACAAAAGACAAAATAAGGAAATTCCCTCTTGAACATTTTGTCTACTGTTTTTATAAGTTTCTGGAATTATCTCAGGGATCAAACAACAAGAGAGTAAATACAATATTTAGAAGTATAGAAATTCATGTCCACATCCAAAAGAAAAAAAAGGGCAAGTCCAAGAATGTTTAGGAGTACAGAAAAAACAATAGTAAGTATACAAATATAGAAACAGAAAAGAAACAGAGCAAAAACAAATTCAGAGATAGAAGAATTTACTGTCACAAAAGAGCAGCAACCAAGAAACTTCACTGACATGATTTCTTAAAGAAACTTTTCATAAAAATGGACATGCTAGGATGCATCTTATAGTCAGTGGTATGAAACGGGGAAAAAAAAGTAGAACGGTTTTAAGAACTAGATACCCTTGAGCATAACCATCTTAAGCAGAGGATTTAAAACACAAATATCAAAGAACATAGAGAGAGAGAGAGAGAGATAGAGAGAGAGAGCTCTTACCAATAGAAATGGCATTTTGAATTTCAGCAACCTTGATGGTAACCTCAAGGCTGTCAACACCCTCTTCTGCTTCTCCAATCAACTTGTCCTTATAGCCATTCCCGTCACTATAGCTACCAGAGACCTTCACCCTTGAGACCAAAAACCACTGAAGCAAAGCAAAAGCAAGTCCAACAAGGGCAGCCAAAGGGATCAGAAGCTGAGTTAGGCCTTCACTTAGCAAACCCATTTCCAGAAACTCCAAAGACAAATGGTTCCTTTTAGCTTTCTGAGCATGCACAAATATATATGGCAAAGAAGCAAACAAAGCTGGGTTTTGAACTGCAGCCTCTTAATCTAGATCTGCATTATCCAAATGATCATAATATCTTAGTGGGTTTGCATTGCATGGCCATTGGAGTCCATAAAGCTGGCTGGTTTGAAAGGCAGGTGAGGCTTGGGTTAGATTCTTCTTAACCTTGGACTGAGCACAACTGGTTGTTTTGATTAATAGGTAGATGTTGTGTCAGAGACGTCTCTATCCCACCGGACAATACTTTCTCTCATTGATGGATGGATAGAGTTGGCCAAATCAGCACCAGCCCCATGGATAAACATAAGCTCAATAATTACTCTGTAAATCACAATTTTCCTGTTCAAAGGAAGGAGGCCTAGAAGGTCTTTGGGGTGAGGGTGTTTTAATAGTGGAAGTTTAATGGCTTTTTATGTAGTAGTTTCTGCCCCAAGTTTAATAAAATTACCTTTTTGTCCAGAACGTTTGTCTTCTTATTATGTTAATGTAAAATTGCACCTTTATTTGATTTGACAACAGAGCAAACATTTAAATTATGTTGATTGGGATTGAAATTAAGCAAGTTGGTGTTGGTAATTAGGGATTGAAATTATGATTTTGCAGGAAATATCAAGACTCTTTCTTTGTTTGTTGTCGGTGGTGTACGAAACAAATACAAAAAGAAGGATTCTTTACCATTTTCTTATGGCAGCTTTATTTCCTGCGTACGCAATTGTATTTTAATGCATAAGGTGACGCTAACTTGAATTCCAAATAAATTCAAATTGCAGTAAAGAAACATTTGTACCAAAAAAAATAAAAAGTCAACAAAATTCTCCAAAAATCTTGTTGCGAATTTTCCTTTCCTTTTCGTAGCCTCTACCTAAGCTTGATACATCATACAGTATGACAAAAATAAATCTTTGATTGTATTCTACAAAATCGTTTCGTAGCGTCTTTAAAGTCTTTGAGACTCCCAATTATTAAAACAAAATTAGAATTATAATATTGTGACCAAGATGAGTTTGCCACGCATTCACACTTAGAATTGACACGTGGAGCTCAACCACTGAAAGTACTGATTGGACTTTTCTACCTTCATGACCACTTCTGCCTGTCTTTGGCAAGATAATGATAAAAATGTGCAGAGAGTCATATAAAATGGTAAAATTTTCAGCTAATTCAATGATTGTAGGCTTCTTCGAAATTGGAAATTTCAAAGTTAATTTGTTGTTTTCAAAGCACTACATGCATGCATATGATGGTGATTGCAAATTTGAGAAGAAAACATGGTACAACAGATTTTCCTTGCAATTTGTTTACTTACAAGAGTTTTTGACATTTCAATCCCAAACCATTCTCCCAGGATGATCATACAAAGCTGAATGTAAGGAGCTGATGGTGAGGTGACTTCTGTTGTAAACTGGCGACAATTTTATGCTTTCTTTCAGCATCAAACCTAAAACCTTTTCTGGTAGATAATAGTAACCATGTTGAAGTAGGAATCAAGAAAATACAGTTCCGTTCACATAGAATCAAGTTATCAACTGCAGTCAGAGATGCACACTAGAACTATATGCTATGCTTTCTCATTTTTTATGCATGAAACCTGCCCATAATTTGGAAGATCGATCTTCTCAAAACGGGAAAATGAACACCAAGAACCATTAGACTCACTTAACTAGGGCTGCAAAGCCTGGCTGGCCCAAGAAGGTACAGGTGCCTGAAACATTACTGGAAGACCAGTAATGGGGTGCTCAAAAGACAAGCTCTCTGCATGAAGTTCATGGCCATCATAAGTTCTCCCTTTCCATTCATACACGCCCTCATACTTGACATCCCCTCTTATGGAAATTCCAAGATACTGGCAATGCAGGCGGATTTGATGTGTTCGTCCACTCCTAGGACGCGCTCTCACCAAAATCTCATCCTTCTTTGTGTCTTTATCTATTACAGCTTTCTCTTGAACTACTACAGTATTTGCTTCATCTTTCTTAAATTCAGATGGCTCTTTCAAGCTCCCTTGTCCATTTATTGATAATACTTCAAAGGATGTTTCCATGTCTCTGACCATTGATCCACCTGGAAGTGTACGGCCTACATCTGAAGCAGCATACACTCGCCAGGCCCCAAATTTTGACCGACCATGACCTGATTTAAGGGTGATTCTTTCCCATTTTGGAGCTGAACCAATGCAGCGTGCAATGTATGTTTTCGAAATTTTATGATCAGTAAATGCCTTCACGAGCTTGGAAGCTACTTTGTGTGACTTGGTTATTACCATTAGCCCGCTAGTGTCACGATCAAGCCGATTTGCAAGATGGAGTTCTAGCTGGTTGGCCGGGGTCCCTGCAACTGATAATTTGAACTTTGATCAATGTTAACAAAAGAGTAACAAAACTCAACTCTTTCAAAACTTCTTTTCTGCCCACCATAAGGTTTAGGTAATCAGCACCCCCATATCAGATGAAATAGACAGCTTTTCCTAAATCTGATTATGCCTATTAGACCTTTTTAGAGTGAACTGAACTTGGTGCCAATTGACTGGAGAATCTACAACAAAACTAAACCTTTATCCCAGCTAATTAGGATTGATTACATGAGTTTTCAGCAAAAAGGAAGAAAAGAAGAGAAGGGCATCAACTACATAACTTTTTTTTTTGTTATACAAACCAATCTGAAGGACTAGAACCATCTCAGGTCCTTACTTAGTACATTGGTTTTATATTCTATTCAAAATTGAAGAATTTGTACGCATTTAAGACTAAAGCCACAAAAATCCAGTATCAGTATATCTCAGATAAACTTTTTTAGCAATATATGATAACGATTTAGCAAGTACATTACCGAAAACTCTACTAGAATGGCCAACGGAAAGAAAGCTCATATTGCTGAGAAGCAAATTTCAAACATATCAACAAAACGAGAAAATTTGTGCATCAGTGAAACACAGCCAATCAGCCAAATGCTACCACAATTGAACACAAAGCTTCATCTATTTGGTAAATACTAAAACAGAACGGGTAAAGATGATGCCTTTGAGCCTAATAATCTATAGTATTTCAGAATGTTCAAAAAATCGCTAGGCGGTAGGGAGTAAGCATAAAACATATAGTAGTACTACAAAGAGAGAGAGAGAGAGAGAGAGAGAGAGAGAGAGAGAGAGAGAGGTAGCGTGAGAGTTTTCTTTAAAGTCAGGAGGAAAAAAAAATCCGCCTAGACCCGCCTAGGCCGATTTTTCGAACTCTAATCCCGCTAAGTCCATTAAACTACATAAAACTTGAACGTCATGCTAAATATATTAGCAACAAGCTGACCCAGAGGATTGAAAACAGCCCAACAAAAGAAAATGGAGCTAACCTGACTCGGCCGAGTCACAGAGAAGCTGAGGGACCGATTCCAGCACGCTCTCACAGTAAACTCCCTGAGGTTTGTTGACAACAATGAGCCACTGGTCCTCGAAAACGACGTAGTCTCTAGAGAGGGAAAAGAGGCTGGATTTGGAGGAGGCAGACATGGCTCTCGCCAGCTCTATATGCTTTGAGATGGGTGGCAGAGGCGGGGAGAGGGGCACGGGGTAATTCTGGGAGATTTGGAGGGCATTTTGGGAACTGGGATTTATGGCGTCGGACTGGACTGACATAGTGATTGAGCTGCGGCTGAGAAAAACGAAGGCTTTGGGAGTGAAGAAGAGAGTGGCGGGTTTGAGAGAGAGGAGAGGAAGAGGGAAGGGCATTTTTGTCAACAACTTGTACTAGTTTGCCTAAATACGACATCGTTTTGACATATAATGTCTTCTTCAAATCAAAACTTACCAAGGAGCTCCAATTAAACAACCCTCCAGAGGAAAATCTGAGTCTGTTAAACCCCGAACTCGAACATCAGAGAAACAAATTCGAAGTTTTTATTTTTCTGCTATATCTTTCCCAATTAGAAACCAGAAAATTAGAGAAGGAAAATGTCATCTTTCATGTTCAGAAAGAGAGCAAGCAGTGGATCCTGGGTGGTTCTCTGTCAAAACCCTGAAGCTAAAACCCAGTTTGTTCCCTATTTACTATTATCCACTCTATCTGAACCCCAACCCACTACACTGAATAAACCCTCAAAGCCTCAAAATTTATCAAATTCAATTGAAAACAAGAGGATTTTGGATTCTGGGTCGTCCTCGTTTTCGCTTAAAACCTCAAAAACCCTACTCGGGTCTGTCCACAATCACACCTTTTCACGTAATATCTTTCTTTCAGGCTCCAAGCCTCTGGCTTTAAGCGCTGCTTCCGGGAAAAATATCACTGGGTCTCATTGTAGTCCCCCGTCTTCAATCTCATTTGGTTCACAAAGGCGTGGTATTTGGCATTTGAGCACAGAAAACAAGGTTTTGGCTTCTGGGTGTGGTGTTTTGGTGCTTCCAATGGTGAAAAGTTTATATTCGTCTCGTGGTGGTCTAGCGCCTTGCAGCTTGGTTTGCTTGTTTGCTACTCAGGCTGCTATGGAGCCGTCGACCTGTGATGGGCTTACAGTTGATCGAATCATTGCTAGTGAGTGGCCAATTCTGGATGAGGAAGAGAGTGATTGGAAGAGTCACGCTGCTGCAATTGCCCAATCCATTCATCTAATTAAGAAACGTTTGCAGGTACAACTTATAATGAGATCATTCTATTATGTTCCTGTGCTCATTAATCAGGACTTGTACGTAATGGAATGTGACTGATTTGTTATTTTTCCTCTGCAATTTTTGGGGTTCATTTGGAAGCATAATTTTGTTGCTTATGTTGGGGATTCAATCATTTGGTTTGGTTGGTACTCTGTTTGTATTGGATTGGAGTGAATTTAAGCTGAGTATTTCTTCCGGTAGGAAATTTTAGCCGTCTCTGAAGTATAACTCTTGTTACTAAATGCTGAATGGATTTCGGTTTGGGTTTGTATATGACCTACTTGGGCTTAATTTTTAAGTACAAGTTTTCTGTTTGTGGTGGCAGTGGAAGAAGTTGATGGTTAGGTTGGATCTGTTATCAGCGGAGGTGAATAAACCAGACCTTTGGAATGATCCTGTACATGCAGGGAAGATAAGCCGTGAGCATGGTTCACTTATGGGTAAAATGAAAGAAGTGAAGGCATTTGAGCGGGAATTGCTTGAGCATATAGACATGGTAAAGCTTGCCCGTGAAGAGAATGATGGAGAGCTGGAATCGGTGGGCCCTCAATACTTCTCATAGGCATGTTATCACTCTGTTTCATGGTTTGTGCCATCTTGAACAATTAGCATCAATTTGATGTTTTATTCACGGGTTATTGTAGATTTAATTTAAGATGTAATCTGCTATGTGAACTGGTGCTTTGAACTATATAATTAGTTTGTCATGTAAGCCAAATCGTGAAAAATCCATTATTGAATCAATGCCCACATATATAATTGTAACCATTGCTTAGAATCAATCCAATAACTGCTTTCATTATTGAATTTAGCCATCAGTTAATTTAACACTCTACGTTAATTCAAGAAGCATGAATTAAATTGGTCATATGTTGAATCCTTACCATAAAGTTGGGTCCCTTAATTTAAGTAATAAGGTACTTCAGAACAGCATGCATTGTGCTTTTCAGTTATGTGGATTCTCCTTTGCAGGAATCCATGAACGCTTTGCTTAAAATGAGAATAGCTTCAAAGGAGAAGGAGACTGAAGCGTTGTTAGCTGGGGAGCAGGATCCTTGCTCATGTTACATAGAGGTCTGTTTGATATTTACATCATGTTATTCTGCATCAAATTTCCTACTTTCTTTGAAACTTTTATCGGCGCATAGTTGGTTGGCATTTTGTACTTATCACGGATGTAATAAAGGTGAACACCATAGTTGTGGTTGTATATATCCCGAGCAAGCCCCTTGAAATTTTTTTGCAATGTAGGTTCAAGCAGGAGCTGGGGGTACAGAGAGCAATGACTGGGCAGCAATGGTCATGCAGATGTATAAAATGTGGGCTCAACAACGTGGATATAAATATCTGTGGTGGATGAAATGCCTGGTGAGATTGCGGGAATCAAGGTTCAAGTTCTTACCATCCTCTAGTCAACTGATCCTTCGTATTCGTCAATGGATCCATGAAACATCTGTAGTAATTTTTACCCAGTAAAGTAGAAGAAATGAGCATATCGCAAGCATGTGCCAATCCACCCTCCCACAGACATATTGCAGTAAAAGCCTGTTAACTCAAGATTGTACTAGTTTTCTGACTTCATATCAATATGTTCTTGCAGCGGGCAACAATTAAAGTTGATGGTGAGTATGCTTTTGGATATGCCAAAGCAGAAGTAGGAGTGCACAGGTTGGTACGGATCTCACCTTTTGACAGTAGTAAGCGCAGGCATACTTCTTTTGCTGCTGTTGCTGTGACTCCAATCAATGAAGACGCGTCTGCTCATGTACAAATTAATGAATCTGATCTGCGCATTGAGCGATTTCGTTCTGGGGGACCTGGAGGCCAGCACGCTAATACAACTGATAGTGCTGTGAGGATTGTTCATGTTCCTACAGGAATTACTGCTACTAGTCAAAATGAGAGGTATTAAACGCACTTGCATGTTCTTGTGCAACTCTTACTCATTTTTTGCTTTTTATGTTTGGAACTAAGAATTGCCAACTTTCATCCTCGTTATGGAGTTTCATTTTTCTTCTATGTACAGATCACAGCATATGAATAAAGCTTCAGCAATGGCTGTTCTTCAGTCACGACTAGACCAGCTTGAGATGGCACGCCAGACTCAGATGAATGCACAGTATTCACAATCTCTTACTGACATAACCTGGGGCAGCCAGATACGTAGCTACGTGCTCCATGTACGCCCTAGTACTACTAGCAGCACAAAACTTCCATCCCTATCCTCCATGCCATTGACAACCTAAGCCATGCTAACTTTCATTGCTTCTTTTGATGCAGCCATACCGGATGGTGAAAGATCTTCGAACAAACTACGAAGTCTCAGATCCCGATTCTGTCCTTGAGGGAGATCTAGATGGCTTCATCATGAGTTATTTATCAGCTTCCTTGGATAAAGATGAAGATGACCGCTAAAACGAGTTTCATCTTGACTACCCTGCGTATCTTCAGCAAGACTGAATCTGTGCTGCATGTCCAGACATCGAACTTGTGATATATTTCAGTCATTCGCCGACGATCCATGCAAGGCAGCCAGAATTTAGGATGACATTTGTACATCCGGTGAAAGGATAGGATGGAAATTACCTTATAATATTCTTTGATACCAAAAGTTTTGGTAATAATCTGATTTTGTAATGAAATAATAGGTTGATAATGTGAGCTGATTTTAGTAGTAAATGTAATATATTATCCACATTTTTTCTTCTTTATCAACGGCTTTAAACATGTTACTGAGAATGTGCCTTAACCCTTTTCTCTCTTTTTTTTTTTTTTTTTTTTTTTTTTAAAGCTTTAAATATTTCCTGATAAGATCCTAGAATATTTAAATATTTAAACAAAAATCCTAGCATGGGCCTCGTTGTGAGCCTTTGGGCTCAAATTTTTGTGAAGGTCCATAATCAAGCCCATTCTTTTTATATTCCAAAAAGTAACGAGAAAATACCTGTCGTTTACAATTAGGGCTTCCACAGAGACCCAGAGAGAGAGCGAGTGAGCGCGGGCAGAGAGGGATCGGAATTGGAATCGGACTTTTAGGGCTTGCAGCTTTGAGAGTGTCGCGATTATAGGTTTGCAGGAGAATTGAAGAATGGGTTCTTCTTCGGTGATAACCCCCGAAGATGTATTAGAGTCTCTGATGAACGATGGTACCATTGATGCTCTCAGGTTAAAGATCATCAATCAGCTCAAAGCCAATGTAATTCTCTCTCTATCTCTTTCCGTTTTTATTTTAGTTTTTCTTAACAAAAAAAGAAATTAAGATTTTTGGAGCATAATTGTTCGTTTGTTTGTGAATTATAATGGTAATGGTTAATGGGTTTTGCAGGAAGAGCTGAAGAAGACGACCATTAAAATGGCGGAACAGAGCAAAGTTCTCAATACTCCTGGGGCCGAGAAACAAACAAAAAGAGAGCTTTTTGATGCACTTAGGCAGGAGCTTGAAACCCAAGTGCTTGAGAAGGCCTCTAAGTCTGTTTGGGAGTTAATTTTAGACAACAATGGATTGGGAAAGGAAATCAACCATACAGTTGAAAGGGTATTTTGCAAATTGAGTGGCCGCGAACCGCCGCTGTTTCTTCCTCCCGATGCCAATGAAAAGGCCAATGACAAGGAAAAAGAAAAAGTAAGAGAGAAAGGTAAAGGCAAAGGCAAAGGCAAAGGCAAGGAAACAGCAGCAAGTGATCCACATGAGAAGGAGAAATCAAATTCTGCATCCAAGAAGAGGAGTTTTAGTGAACTAAATGAACAAGGTGAAGGAGAAGACCATCAAGTTGCAGCTAAATCTGATGAACCTCCAGCTGTTGTGCCTGAAGAAGACTCACAAGTTTTGAAGACTTGAATTTTACTGCTTCTTCAAGCCATCTTGTTAGACTAGTTTTGTTTTAGTTTTTATTGTCTATATATCCACTCTAGGAGGATGACTAAGTTGTGTGTGCTTTGCTTTTTACCATTTACTTTAGCTTTGCTTTTCCTCTAGGTAGATGAGAGTATATGCTTCCCATATTGCCATTCTTTAATTACCTGCTCTGTGATTTTGGGTGTTGAAGGTTGTAACACAAATTAACTTGTTTAGTGTATGTCTCTTTGTTTATGTATATTTTATTGAATAAGAAGAAGAAATCCTTTGTCCTCTGCAGACAGGGGCTTTAAATTAATGACTTTGTAGTTGGTAATTTGATGAGGATCCATCCCTCTCCCCGCTTGTTGAGGATTTCTTTTTGTATAACCTTTTGTTTTTTTTGTGTCTTTTTTTTGTTGTTGTTGGTGGATTTGGATTAAATTATATGATCACTGGATGTCAAATTTGTTACACTTGGATTAGATTAGATTAAGCAAGATGTTACAAATCCTTGAAGGTTGGAATTGGAGAGATTTTCATATGGAATGCAAGTATACCCAAATCTTGAACAAATTTCAAGAACATCCCTCGGACTCTTCATTGTTGGACAGAAGCATTGCCAACGCTGAAGCCTGAATGCTTTTGGAAAAGTTAATTAAAAAAGAAAAATGCTAAGCACGCACTAACCAACCAAACAAACAGGGGATCAAGATTATATAATCCCTCTCTACAAGGATATCCACAAAAATAATACTAACCTAACCAAAGGGATGAAACTGAGGCAATATACACTTATCCCAGGTCATCTTTGTGGATTCCAACGGTTTGCCAAATTATTGAATTCTTCCATCCTTTGATTTTGAGAGAAAGGTGAATGCAGTGAGTTGTTCCCAGCCATATGTATCTCTGAGTTCTCGGCAGAACCTTGTGGCGGCACCCCCCAGCTGGCTGGTTGAGGTGGTGGCAGCACCCAGCTCTTTGGATGAGGCTGGAGTACATTAACAGTTGCACTGGGAACCAAGTTTCCGTTACCAGTCATTTGTTGTCCATAGTTTGTGTGCCTTGTACCAGTTCCAACTGCAGAATTCACTTGCTCTGGGAATCCAATAAGTGAGTTGGCCTGTGTCATGAATTGTTTATCACTAAACTCAACTTGTGACTCAAGCAACAACTTGTTTTCAATGGAAGCGAGCATTTGAGACTCTAGATTAACGCATTCCAATGCTTGCACATATGCACTAAAGTTCTGGAAGGAAATGGTTGGATTCATTTGGGGTGCTGCAGCAACAGAAACCAATCCTGGAAGTTGCTCTCCTCCGAAAAACTCTGCAAAGTTGGTCGTTGCTGTGTTTCTTCCTTGATCCCAGTATGGCATATGTGGATTTTCAACAGCTTGGTTGCTGTTTACCTCATCTAAAGTCGAAGAAAAATCCATAACTATATCATCACAAGATATTTGGGAAAACAACATTAGTGTATGTGGTGAAAGCCTAAGAAAAGGTATATATGGTTGAAAGAAGCAATATAAGTACCTGATATTGGTGAAGTCGAATCCTTGATCCTAAGAGATGGTTTGGCTTGTTCATATCTTTGAATTTGTTGAGTAGGACGTGTCTGGACACATGGTGAAAAGGTTGAATGTAAATTGGAGGGGATTTCTGGCCCATGTCCATCCATATTAAAAGAAAATTCTGCAATTCCATCGTTGAATTCTGACTGAAAGTAGGGAGATCTTTGACTTGGGAAAGGTTTTTGGCTCAGTTCGAAAAACCGGATTTCACATTGTATGAGCTTCTCATAGTGTTTGTCAAGAACACCTGGGGCAAATTGAACATAATGCCTCCTGCAAACAGAACGTTATGAAAAAGCTAGATCAGCTCAAGTGCTTGAACAGTAAAGGACAGATGAAAAAGTGAAGATAGGAAATATAGTGAGCTAAACAAATCTTATTTTGGTGAATCATTTTGATAAGAGAACCATTGATTCTAAAGTTCTGCTGTTTGGAGTAATTCATCAGTACTATAAATATCAAGAAATAATTAGGATAAGAACCTGTGAGTGAGAGCTTCACCGTTGGTGAAATCTGTTGCCACATTCCACATGGTATGCTTTCTTGGCAGCGGATTCGATTCCCGGTGGAAAGAAGGTGGCTGGCTTAACTGCAAAAACATCACCACATCAACACCTTGAGACAAAAAAAATGCCTCCTACTGAAAAAATTTCTATCCAATTAATAGTTATGATGAAAGCTATTATCATAAGGAAGAATATATAACCTCAATTTCTAAAATTCCAGGCTGATTTTCTTCAATAACAGCTCTCATTGATAAAATATCGGACCACTGCACTTCAATCTTGCTCTTCAAACCTTGATCTAAGATTTCCCACACCAGTTTTCGCTTAGCATAGTAACATTTGGCCACCAGATCACCTTCATGTTGAGTTACTCTCTGCACATATTGAAATCAGAATCTAATGAACAAAAAGTTATATTTTTTTATCCACTTTAAATCAAAGTGTTGCAGATTGTCGAAGTGCCAACCTGCCATGAACCAATTCTGAGTAATGTTGCACCAAAGTTAGAAGCCTTCAGTTTTTCCTTCTCAGACATTAATTGAAAATCATTATGATTAATTTCGGGTGCTCGAATAATCGTATTTTTCTGGGGCACAGTCATTTCTGTTAAGTCCAGAAAAGAGGGTATCTTCCCAAGATTCAAACCTAGAGGACGTAAGCTTAAAAGAATTTGAGCCAGTTGAGCCTACAAAGAATGCAGCATCAAAACGTTATAAATAGAAACTTTACACAATTAGGAAATAATACACAGTTACCTATTCAAATGAATGAAAGATAGAAACAAAAACCTAGAAGAAAGGCCAACGTGTTTTTGCTGGAAAATAGGCCACCGTGATTAATACGAGGGAAATGATAAGAGAAACGAGGAAAACCTTTCTTCTCTCTAGTTTTTTACTTTTCCAATAGTTACAATTAAAATGAAACAACAACGAAAGAGAATTCAAAATGCCAACTTTTATGAACAAAAACCAACAAGAGAGGAAAAGTTAAAGCCTGCAAAACCCAAAAAGCCCCATGCATAAGATTCAATCTAAAATAAACCCCACAAAACCAATTAAAGTCATAAAAATGTCAAGATTCAAGATCCATGCATCAGAATCTTGAAAGAATAAAAAATAAAAAAATAAATAATTGAATTCATCATAAAAGGAAAAATGATATAAGTGTAAAGAAGAAACCTTTTCATTAGAATCAATGGGAGCTTGCTTGAGCCTCTTGTTTGCAGCTTCTGAGATATTGTGCTCATAAGCAGAAGCAGAAGCAGAAGCAGAAGCAGAACCAATGTCACGCTTCAAAGACTCCGAATTCTGAAACTGCTCAAAAGCACCAGAAGCGTCACTAAACCCACCACCGCCATCAAAATCATCGTTCCACCTGAAAATCCCATCAGAACCAATCCCCTGAACCATTTTCTTTATTTTTGCTTTTCTGGTTTCTTTTTTCCTGTCTTTTCGGATGAGCAAATGACGAAATTAGGCAAAACCCAGTTGAGGATTAACTGAGTTTCATTCAGTTGAAGTCTCAGACGAGTGTTTGTGAAGGAATTGGAGGAGAGAGAGAGAGGGAAAGAGAGAAGCGGCGAGAACAGGGGAAACAGAGCAAAACAGAGCAAGTGACGGGTGTGAATGTGACTTTGGGTGACAATTGCAGAGGCAAAGCTGACTCTGGCTTTGGGCTTATAAAGGTTGAGAGAGGAGAACTCCTTTTGACGCAGGACTGCTGAGGTCATTCTTTTACACGTGGAATCTTTCCTTCTTTTCATTGGGCCCCACATAAATTTTCCATTTTTTTTTAATTTTTAAAATTTTTAAAATTTAATTTTTTTTTATACGCCTGGTTTTAAGGCAAGTACTCAGGTTTGTTAGTTGAAAAGAGAGGAAAAAAGAGATTGGTTTTGGATTTTATTTTTGGTTGAACTGTTTAGTTAGATAAATTAATTTTGTTTCTTTTAAACACTGCTGCTTAAAGTTAGCTTTTACTTTTTTATGTCAAATTATTAACTTAAGCATGAAAAACATGCTTGGGCCGGACGTGCTCTCCCTCCACTCTATGTCCGAATTCGAATCCCCCTCTCGTAGTTTAGATTAAATTAAAGTAAAATATCGTTTATATAAAAATAAAAAAATGCATGAATTGGTGTTAAATAGTTGGCCATGGACTTTACCATTCAAGGAAATAATGAAGCAACTGTATTAGCATGTATAGAGTATGAGTTATAGTATGAATAGACAAAATGAATATACTTATGTAACCGAAATGAAAAATAGACTCATTTGTTGTTTTAAACTCTAAATTAAAGTTTGTTAGGAAAAGAAATCATATTAAATATTTTTATTTAAGATTGCTTAATTATAGAACTCCAAAAAATGTCTCCCCTCCCACCTCCCCATCAAAGTCAACCTCTAACATCTAGACACACACACACACCAAAAAAACAAAAACAAAAACTAGGTTTATTTTATACTTTCCAAATAAGGAAAAATATAATTGGATTAATAAAGTGACCATGGCCTTCCCAACCACAATCCAAGAAATGGGCATGATTCATGAACCAGTTATGAAGTTTATCCTCTTTTTTTTTTCTTTTCTGAAAGTAATAAAACTGACTTTAGCAGATTGAGAAATTTGAACCAACTGGTTTGGATAGAAAATGTCTGGTTTTGTGTTTGTGAGAGAGTACTTTGAATTTGGAGTAAAAAAATAATGTCTACAATTATTCAACTTATCCAATTTCCATACTCGAGTTGCCTAGTGCTTCACGTTTGTAGGGTTTGTCTGGCCATTCCAAGTACCCCAAAATATAGTGCAATAGCCTTGTACAATTGCACAACAAAGTGTTTAGGAAAAAACAAACATATAGGAATTTCTCTTTTTCTTTCTTTTTTGTTTTTTTTTTAGTGCAAGCGATTGGGAGAGGGGGTTTA